CATCGATTATCTTTTTTACTGTATAAGAATAAAGACCTTTGCATTTCGCTGTTTCAGTTGTCAATGAATTAGATTTTCATTAACACAATTCACTACATCTTATTGTGGCTTAATACAAACAAGGCTCTTACATTTCACGACAATGCAAAAAGCTTTCCGATGTCCGTCACAACAAAGTAGTCGAAAATTTATCATAAAATGGGGGATCATTGCGAGTTTCTCGGAGTGTAAGTTTTGCGGGTAATGGAGTTTTTGTCAGTTCACAAAAGCTCTGTTGACACGTTCCTACCTTTCGGCCTCTTCCGTTTAGATATTGTCTGCTGCATTCTCTGCGTGTTGGTGTCGTTCCTTTCCTTATGGGCTCGCAGGCAACAAACCGTGGAAATAGAAGAATGGCCGCAGGGTGGTCCAAGTTGGTGGTCCAAGTATGGGAAGGAGACTTCAATACCATACAATTTTCCCGAGGTACCTACCCAGTGACTTTGTACAATTTTTATATATTTTTAAAACGTTAAAAAAGACCCATGGATACCTCATCGACTAAAAAAAAACCTTTTTATCTTTCATTTCGTACGTGATATTAACACTCTTGAACCCAAACCTAAACAACCGCAGTGTACTGTGAGCAAACAACAACAACAACAAAAATCCCGGTAGCGCCAAGCGACCACAACCCAAGCGACCGTGACGCGGCCTTTGTGAATCATGTTGAGGCTGAGAAGAGTGTTGCGCAAAGCAATACTGCAGTGCAAAATTCCAAATGCCATTATCAATCATGAACAGCATGAATGTTTATAAAGCTGGTACATTCGAGAACTCTTTCGGTAACAAACACGAAAATATGAATCACTGCAGGTCAAACAGAACTGACATTTAAGAATTGCTAACAAGAGACTGGCCTTGCTGCACCTTCACAAAGGGAGGTCTCGCATGAATGAAAGCAAATTTGTTCTCACAGTGTTGACGCGCTATATATTGTGCATGCAGTCACAATAGACCTTGTCACTAATAGATTCATAATTATGCACGCATGCACACAAATGGCCTTGGAGGCAAGAAGTGTGAGCGGGCCACTGAAAATGTACAGGGGTGCGACTTTGATGATCATTTCCTCTCAGATTTTCTGGCATTGCTCAGTTTTTTTCTTCAGAAAATCCCATTAAATCGTTTTGCCATTAGTTTCTAATCAAAGCGGGATTTTTAGTGCTCTGTAAAAAGACTTTGTAATCATGACTGATTTTTCCTGTGCGCACGAGATCGCCATTTCTTAGTATGGCCTCCTTCATTTTTAAAATGAAATTGTGCTACTTAGCCTAGAATCCATTAAAATTTCAAAGCTGAAAGAAATCTTGCGCACGTCACTTGTCATGATAACAATGCTTCGACAAAACTGCCATTGACTGCATTTATTTTTTAAAACAGAATCATCGTTGTTAAGCCATGCTCCCCAGATCCTTCCAAGTTTTTTTAAGAGAAATCTCCAGCCTCCCTAATGGATCTTCTTCGCACCTGGCCCCGTGCCCTATGTCCATGTCTCCACTCGAGGCATCCATCCAAGTGGTGACCCATGATGATTGTATCCATGACCATCGTTTAGTGGCTAACTGGTAGTGTACCTCTCTTCCTTCCCGAAGACTCGGGGGAGAAGACAACCGGTAGAGTCGCATCCAGAGGTCCTTTCCATCCGAGGATATCGTCGTTCTGCTGGTCAGGCCTTTCAACTTTAATTGGCTGGTGATACAGTAACACAGATATGCTAGGGTGAAGTGTTGTCCCTAAATAATAAGGAACGTGGAAAGAAATGAGTGAACAGACGAGCAAAAGTAAATTCACAAAAATGGGCACGAAGGAAATTTATTAATTCTCTTCAGCTGTGCTTACAAAACTCAGTATGGGTTTTCACTTCATAGTTATTTCAGGTTGTACAGACAATATGGATATAATGGAAAACTGAAGGATAGGAATCGTCTCTAATTAGCATAGTTGTACACAGAATGTTATTAATACTGCAAAGCCAAAGCAAGGATGTCAGTTTAATTCGAAATTGCTCAAAAGCACACACTGTGTGTTACAGAGCAACCAGTGCATGAATTGAATGTTGTGTTTTCTGATTATGTTTTTACTGTGTTCCGTTGATTGTTTTTATTCTGAGGATATATCAATCTACTCCGAAGGTAATGGAATCGTCCAAAAGTTTTAGCCAATCAATTGCTCGTCATTCCCTCTGCCTCTGTAACTCTGCCATTCACAGAAGGCGTTCGCGAAGTGGGAAAATGCCTTCCCGTCTTACGCAAAGGTATTTTGTTCAGGTCGTGGTAATTGTCAGAACGCCCATCGTATTATTGTGAATCAAATCACGCCAGTCGATGAAAAACAGCTAGCATTGTACAATCGGGCACAATTAAAATCTTTGGGTGCATGTTGGGGTTTTCTTTTGTGAGAGAGAGATAGAGAGTCAGAAGTCATTTTGTGTGTTTTTTTCGTCTCAGCATGGAGTATGAACATAAAGTTAAGCTCCTTCGGGACTTGGGAACGGTCACAGATCATCAGGAAACCTGCACAGACCAAGAAAAGAAAACAGACACTCTGTCTGTTGGAAAAGAGGGACTCATTCCAAAGAGTGCATTAATCGTTTAGAGTAAATGACAGCATGACAAACAGTAGGAACAATTTCAAGATCATAATACGTACTTTAATCATGTGATTGCTAATTGGTGTCAATTCAATAAAGGATATGTACAGAATTATTCTTTCTTTTATACACATGCTTTTCACTTAAGATTCTTCAGACTCTCAAGACAAACTCACTATTTTTCCAAAATCCATTTAGAACCATGCGATTGAAGGATAGGCAAATACTTTATGATATGAACTACATATTCTCTTCAAACGTAATAAGGGGCGTCCAAATACACAACCGCATTTCAGCATTTTGAGGGGCATACTTAGTTTACGGAAGAAACTTGATGGAAGAAAATTCGGGATGCACTTGAAAATAAGAGATAAATGCTAATCGGGTGGAAACGGCTGCAAAGGAATTAACAGTTGCAATGAAAAGGTGATGATACTGATAAGATATGAGCGCTGCAAGAAAAATATTTCGTTCAGGAGAAAAGCTTGGTAAGTTTATTCTGAGACCCTTGGAAAGGATCTTTAAGTATTTTGACATTTTGAAAAGAATTGCTGCAGTTTGAAAAAGTGGTTTTTCATAAGTACTTTTTCCAGAATCCCCCCTGAAAAATCTAGTCGAAACCAGATACTGAATGAATAATTTGTTTTTTGTTATTACCCTTCTACGTATCACCATCGTGATTGAGTTGACAACCCTTATGACCATCATCTCTGCTAAAAGTGATGTCCTGATCCTGTCATGACTGAGGGCAACCTCACAAAGAGGTTACAAGGTATTGGATCTACATTTACTCCAAATGGATGCTCCTAGTACAGTCCTAATGGTTTTTGAATGACGATAAAAACAGCTGCTAAATTAAAACACAAACGCTAAAAAAGAATTAACTAACACCACACGCAATAAAAATTCAAACCAACTACATGTAATAGACTATCCATTAAAGTAGCATCCATCACTAAGAGAAAATTAATACACTCTTTGATGAAAACACACAGGACTTTCCCCATCAAATAGTGGTAACATCCATTTTTAACATTCTGTGTTTTTTGTCGTATATGAAAATGCTACACAAAAGGTCGCAAGACATTACGTCAGAAGACTTTAACTTGAGATTTAGGGTGAGTATTAATTACCTAGGCCTATAATAAATTCTTACTACTCAAAAATAAACCAACTGGCTATTATTCGGAGTTTCCCCCAATGTTAAAAATCCAGATATAGCTGATATTGAATCACAGGGATCAGATAATTTCGAATAAGTACAGGATTGGTTACAGCGACATAACTTATACTAAACCCAATACTTTCATGTCATCTTTCTATCAAACTTATGCACTCATTACTGTCTCATATTTACGCCAAATCGATCATAGCAAGGTTTGGATTCTCAAAACTGGAGAAAACCCCTGATTTATGTTGCGGTGCTATTTGGTGGCTGTTCAGAGGGTCGGTCCAGGAACTTCACGTTGACAGCGGGTATGGTCTTGATGTTGGCCAAGNTTGTTGCGTCGCCCGTCCACAAAGGTCTCGATGACCCGGATCCTATCCAAGTCTACTGGGTTCACGTCGTACGGGTTCTCAGACAACACCACCAGGTCAGCCTTCTTGCCGGCCTTGATGCTTCCTATCTCCTTGTCCCGGTGAAGCTGCCAGGCCGCGTTCACGGTGTAGGCCTTGAGAGCTTCGTGGACGGACACGCAGTACTCAGGGCCGTAGGGAGTGTTAGGGTCGTCCCTGGTGCAGCGAGTGACAGCCGTCTTGATGTTGGAGAAAGGATTGGCTTCTCCAGGGAACGTTGGATGATCCTGTGGACAGGAAAAAACACATTTTGAACCATTGCATTGCTGACATTTGATACATTTTTTTTCATATTTTTTAACTCAGAAAAGAAGAAAGTTCATGCTGGTACGATTTTCGAGTGTCTTAAATCATGCTATGGCCAATTTAACAAAAAGTTTAGATGACAAGCTTAATGTCAGTTTATCGAACTTATCGTTTATCTTGAGAGGGCAAGTAATTTGCTCCCATGATCTTAGACATGCTATAAATATTATCAACAAGGCAAGGTTTCGGAAGGCTGTGCTTGATCTTTCTGAAAGGGCTTCGAGTTTTTTTATTTACCTGGTGAATGGTCCAGGTTATGCCATTCTTGGTCGCTTCGGAGATTGGAGTCCAGCGGTTGACACGATCACCAAAGATGTTCGTCTTGTAAACAAGGGCGTAGAAGCGGAGGTGATCCACGAAGAAGGAAAGCGCCAGGTTGATCTTACCGGCCCGGGCAATCTGGTCCACAGTCATCAGACCTAGATGCTCCATGCGATGACGGTTGTCCTGGTTGGGGAATTGAGTCAGGATCTGGCAAATGGGGGAACGTTCACACCATACCAAGAGACTGAAATCACTGGTTTCATTCCCTCTTCGCTCACCTTTTTATCCATTTCTACGAAGATGAGAGACTGAGTTTTCTTTTTGAATTATAAAGGTAATAAGAAACAGAATGTTTGGCATTATCATACGATCATCAGAGCAGCATGATTTACGCAAATGGCAAGGTACGATTCAAAAAGCATGATTAATTTTCTTTCCGGTAATCTTTTGAGAATTGCATTACATGTACATCTGTTAGCCACTTGACTAGATATGGAGGAGAGACTTCATGTATGTAATAACTAAGGCAACTGCGGTGACTGTGTATAAGTCAGGAGTAGCCTTCTCGGGAGGGCTACTGGAGTTGGTGCCAAAGCTTAAGCTTCTCCCTCTCGTCCATAATACCTTTTCGTATACTTTCAAGACTTGTTCACAGCTCCTCTCCCCGTGGCAGTGGATTGCTATCTGTTTCCCCTCCTGGTGGTGCCTCTTGACGGTGTCGAAGAGTGCATCCGTCTCCATGTTCAGGATACCGTAGCTGGGCGCCTTGGGGAAGCCTAGGGTCTCAGTTAGTGGGGTGAACATGAATGGCTCACGGGTAGCAGCGGTGCCGCAATGCGGGGAGCCGTCGGCTATCAGCTTCAGACCCGCCTCCCACAATCTGGGGCTGTAGTTGCCGACACCCCCTTCGTAGTTTTTAGCACTGCCCCTGGCCTCCTTGGCTCGTGTGCGACCGAGCTGGCTGCAGCACCTAACTTTTGGGGGAGTAGGACCAGACGCGCTGTCCAAGTCTTCATCTCTCACTGCATGGATCAGTTTATATAAGCCTGCCAATGATAAAGAGACGCGGCAACAAACGAACATTTTTCTTGATATCAATTAACCATGAATCTCAATAAAACGGAGGAACACAGTACATTCAGTTATCAGCGAAGGGTACCATAGAGATGGATATAATGTTGTCTGGAGCTGATTTATTAGAAATCATGGTTTTTATTTCCTTTTGAAGTGATAACCTTTTTACTCACCCAGACGGACTGGAAAGTCGGGCGCATCAGCCATTTTTTTCAGAATCTCGTCCACCTTTGGTTCGGCATGTAGGCAAGATCAGTTACGGTGGTCAAACCAGCAGAAGCGTAGGCCTTCCACTGCTGCAGGAATGCCTCTGTCATCATCTTTTCGTTGGGCGAAGGGGCTTTTTGCCCCATGACGATCGAGATAGCGGGCTCCTCAAAGAGCTGGCCAGTTGGATAACCCTCGGCATCCAGCACCACGGTCCCTCCTGGCGGACTTTCATAATCTTTGCCGATCTGAAAAGAAAATATTGCGCTATTTGACATTCGAGAAATTGTGTCCAAAACAAAGTTATTTGAAAATTTGCCTTCCAGACGGTTGAGATGACAATAATGTGCAAATCATTAAGACATTGCGAAGTTCCCATTGAGAGGGCCATGGAATATAGACTTACTAATATAGTATTAATCTCGATTGTTCTTAATGATTCTTTTGAATGTGTTGAGTAATAAGTAAATGCATTACAATTTGTGGTCTACAACTTAGGCGATTAGGATACAACAGAAGAAGTTTTATACGTGCAGGTTGAATTCTGTTCCCAACATAACACGTCCAATTACTTACAGGTGGCGGTGCATCAAGAGCAGGGCTGTTGACCCAGGCCACGTGACCGCTCTGTCCAACCACGACAATAGGGGTGGTGGAAGAGAAGTTGGTATCCAGGAAGTTGGCGCTGAGAGTCGGCAGGTCAGATATGAGCTCAGCGTCCCAGCCGAAGAAAAAGGCCCAGCCCTCGTTGCTGGGGTCTGTCTCAAGCTCGCTTATCTTTTTCATCATCACGGTGCGAATATCTTCGTAGGACCTAAAGAAAGGGTGTTCTTTCAACAATTAACAGTAAAATGTACCTTCAGTCGGTGGTTTACGATTTAAAGAAGAAAACAAAAGAAAAGTAACAACAAATGTCCACCAAGTGCAATCAATCAATGGTGGCGGTATCGCAGCTTGACTTGTTTCTTGTGATATTTAAAGATAACACAACAGCAGCGTGTCAATGTGTGATCTATAAATTGTGGCCACAACAGAGAAACATGACGAGGCTGTTTTAAGTGTCAGTAATCCCGGGTTCCCGCTCACACCCCCGTCCAACTAACAGCGCCATCTAGACCCTTTTGGGTGGGCGGATTATGGGGGGGGGGTTATGGGGCAAACTTGTGGGAATATCTCTATGAACCTTTTTTAAATCAGGGGAAATCACTTTCCTTTCTTTACTCTCTACCTGTATTTAAGGGCACTGATGTTGACATACTGGCTGCGCATGTGGGCACACAGTATGGCATGCTGGTGAGGTTCAATGAAACCCGGCATTAGCGTCTGCTGGTTCAGGAAGATCACCTGGGTCTTATTCCCGGCGTGCCTGAAGACCTTATCCATGGTACCCACTTCCAGGAAGGTGTCACCACTGATGGCCACGGCCTCGACCTTTGGTGGAGGATCTGCTGCGCTACCCAGTGAATTGGCATCGGACTCCTCCATAGTGATAATGTCACCCCCGTAGAAGATAATGTCGGCTTGCTTAGTCCCTGCCTTACCTTTTTTATAAATATAAAAAATCCTGACTTCTCTTTTTGTCGTTTTTTTATTATACATTCCATGATTTGGTTTGTACCTTGTCTTGCCTTTTTTGGGGGGAGGGGAGGGATATCCCTCAGCAAGCATTATAAATGGTGCTATCCATCGATTTGTGTAATGAGGCATGGTAATTGACACTACCATAGTCTGGAAATTGTTTCACACAACTTACTGAATTCTGATTAGAATAATCTTCAATGACATAGGTCTTAGCAAGGTAATATCTTCAATGGCGCAAGGCTAGCAGTTCAAAGATTAATATTTACCAGAGGTCCTTTTCTGACTAGGAATTTGAAGGAAGTTCCTCTCAGAAACAATAATTTTGTCTGAACATGCTGATATCTACACATATATAACGTAGATATAAGCCCTGTCATTGCTCGGGTTCACCCGTTCCATAGAAAAATTTGGAATTACGATGATTATAATTTATCGGTGACATTAAGCCGTACAGCACCCTGAACGTATTGGGATCAAGGAATTGCACCTCTTGTGACCTAGTTATGATCCTGATATTGGCAAGAATCTTTCTGTAACTCCGGATGACAGTCCGTTAGATATATATCACTCTTTGCCAAATCTCTCCATAACAAATGATAATAAAGCATTACATCGAAACAAGGGTGAGAAGGGGTTTCTGGCACGAACGCTGCACGTCATCGAAGGTTGCCTAGTTTTGCCTGCTTCTTTTTGTTTTGTGGTTTTTATTCTCAAACGATTTTTTTTGGTATACCCTTTGAAATGGAAGTTGGAAAAGCCATTTGAAGTTGGAAAACCAAGGGCGTCAATAACTTTTGAAGTGTTGGAAGACATACATAATATAAAGTAGAAGAACAAATGTTGAAAACGAACAGGTGCGCGCGTGGCCAAAATTTATCGAACGGTAGTGTAACAAATTTCTTTGTGTTATTTTTCTACTGAAAAACAATGTTCAATGAAGTACGGAAAAGAATAAGGACCTTCTGGTTTTAATCTTGGTTTCAGCTGGGTAAAAATAAATTACTATAAATCAAAACAGTTTCCTACATCTAGTCATGAATTAAGTTAACATTGTACAAAACAAATCTCAGCTAATCCATCACATTATAATCGAAAATAATGTCCTTAAAAAGGAGCCATTTTCTGGGAATGCATTGTCACTTTGTGAAAACACCGTTGACACCTTCCTACCTTTCGGCATCTTTGGTTTAGATGTTGTCTCCTGCATTCTCTGCATGTTGAAGTTCCTTTCGTCAAAAGCTCGGAGGCAACAAACTGCGTATACGTACAGACGAGGGACCGTAGGGTGGTCGAAGTGGGGAACTTGCAACCAAATCTCTGTGGAGAGTCCTCAGGTGCAAGAGATCTCTGATGACAGCGGTAATTCAGCAGTTGTTTTCTGCTTGACGATACTTTGCTAGTTTCCGCTTTGAAAATTGTACTTTTTCACAGATAAAGGCGGAAGCAGCAGGAATTGGTTATTGCCCGTGTGTAGTCAGGCGATTTAAAGGTAGTGTATAGGATATGCATGTACTGCAATTTGTCAAAATTAGCGAATTTGGGAGTTGGTGATTTACTCTGTGTATCATTCCATCAATGCTTTGCAAAAATGGAGAAAAACCGATTTTCATGTTTAACCCAAGAAGCGCAGCTCGTGTAATTTGTCTCGCAAGAACCCATGGGCCACAGGAACTCCTGAGACACTGCACAGGCGAGATCGATTTGAAATGCCCAATTATGGCCTCAAAAATGCATTTTTCCATAGCTTCGCTTAATACTAGTGGCTGGCAAATTTATCTTCAAACTGTGTTTCCTCTTCAACAACGCAACGCTGAGAATTTGTCTAATTACGTTCTTATCGGGCTGTGAAGTGGCTGCAGTCACCATAGTCGCTGCGCGAACACACTATATTTATGTACATGGAAATATTGTGCTTGCTTTTGCCTTGAAACAGTGTTTCCTAAGTGTGCTTTTGTGCCCTTAAAACTAGGGTGCTCTTTAACGAACAGTTTCCGGGGCACGAATTCTAATTCCCTTACTTTTGTCATCCAGAACAACTGTTGTCGGTATGTCTTCCTGCCTAACACTCTCGTTATTGTTAGGAATGAAAATGGAAAGCAAGATTGACTTATAACATGTTGGGACTCTTTGTGATGTGAAACATACAGAGCAAAGCAAAACAATGCGAGTACACCACAATTCTTGGTATACAGTGGAACACTGTTAACAAGGACCTTCAGACTTTACAAATTACCCTATTCAGATACCTTATATTTTCAGTAAGACTTGGGACCTAAAGCTATCCTTGTTACAAACGTGACCTTGTATTAACAGTGTTTTTCTTATCGGTATTTGACTGTATTTTGTAAGCCTATTTTATTAATTGCTTTCAAGGTGCCCTAATTTTTCCTATGTGATATCGATGCCACATTTGCGTTGCCCGGATTTTCCTTTCTCGATTAAAAGTATATTTTTTGCTCTTACAGTTTCCAACATAATAATGGATTTCATTGGAAATGGTTTACAACACAAACAATACAATATGCAAGGCTTTCATTATCTACTGTTGGCATCCAGGTAATGCATTTAACATGATCAACTTTCACCACCCAATTATTGATATGTAATCGATCCATCTGCTGTCCAGGTTTTGCTATCAGCGTCCCAGTTTCTGCATCCCGTTACTGCCCGACTTCACACCTCCTCTCCAGCTGCTCAACGATTGGCGTCGCCAGGATTTTTCCTAGGGGGGCAAACCATTTTTCCCTATTGGGTGGGGAAATTATGAGAATTGATCATTTATGTTAAACCCACTGAGTTTTATCTCATTTCCTCATATTGATTTCTTTTTTTTTCATTCTTTTAATGTTCTCCCATTTTCCGGGGGGGGGGCAAGTGCCCCCTCTTTCCCTCCCCTGAGGCACGATATATTTTTTTTTCTTAATTTTCTTCTCGCATAGACGAGAACTATTGCAATAGCCCGTAATCGGCGATATGTCGCAAAATACAAGCGTTTCACAACAGTGCGCCTGGGTTTGCAACGCGTTGACCAACCAGTGCGCAGAATCTGTCGACCGAATGCGTGTTTGGAAAGGGTCGACAGATTTCGCGCACTGTAATTGGTCAACACCTTGCAAACTCTTGGAGGCGCACTATTGTGAATCACCCGAATGATGGAAAGCTGATCGGGCAAAGAGAAAAGGGCAACGGCTGGGGTGGGGGGGGTAGTCCTCTAGCTGTGTCCTTTACCGCTGTGTAATGGTCCGCACTGTCCAGTTTTCCCGTTCTGTATGACTTTCACAAAACAGCAGTTAAACAGCAGAGATATTTTATCATTGGCAACAACATACCTTCGGGAGATGAACATAAATTTCGCTCCTCGGTGATTCAGACTTTTCCGGTTATGATAATTTCAGAGAGTTGGTCTCTTAAAGTTCAATACATTTTACCGAGTGCCGAGTCTTAAAGGTGTGCACGGGTCTACGACAAGGTCTCAAAAAAGTACCGTTTGGGGATAACTATATATCAAGAAGACGCTATTACGAGGCAAAGCAATCATCACATTTTCTGTTCCTGTTTTGGTTTAATATAATATTAGTACGGGGAGATTCTTTTCCTAGTTGTTTCATGTAAAATATGTAAACAAATATCTGTGCAACTCCTATCCCAGCCAAATAGTTCACCTACGGTCTAGGTAAGCCTGACAGTTCTTGCAAGCTCTTCAGAAAAGTTACTTGAAAATAATACCGACGGAGGGTAATTTTAATGAGATGCTGAAGACGTATTATGGGTTTGGTATTTTAAAATTATTACTACTAGAACCAAATTGGTTGTTACTGTTCCATGTGGTAAATAGGTGTATACTGTTTCAAAGAACACAAATTACGATCAAATTTGTTCCCCCATCCAGGTTGTAGAGGCAATTGTTTGGTTAGTTTAATGTTGTTCATTGATAGTTTATTTGCTAAAGTGAATTTCTTTTTAGTCAAACAAGCCGAAATTTATAACCATTTAATGTCATTAAATGCCCAATCTCATTTCCATTATTCTGTATAATAATGTCGACTTATATGGTCATGAACCAAACATAGCCGAGTAAACAAACTTTTACGAGAAAATTCTTAAAGCACATTTTTTCAGCCTGTACTGCCTATCGTCCTCTTGAGTGCAGATTTTGACTCACAGATGATTTTCTGGCCATCCCGTTCCAATTAATTGTTATTTCCTTTCTACTGTTCCTCTCAGATGTTGGTGTTATACGACTGTCTCGCTGCAGGGGCGTTTGTGGCAGGGTCGTTGCTTCTATCATTTTTGGACTGCAGACTGGATTAATGAACCAGGCAACAAGGCAGCCGTTGGGAGTGTTTCAACCAACCACCAGCTCCCTTTCGGCGAGCCACACCGATCATGTCTGCAGGCACTGCTATTCTTCCATTCTCCTCGGATGAATGCTTCCTGGTGCTTGGACCTAGAGTCCTGGTGAACAAGGCTGCCAACTGGATCGGTGGACCAGATATGATGGCAATCCTGAGCAAGAGAATTTCAAACAAGGATAAGTCTTGGAATATGTATTCTCGCCCCGTACAGGGCAAGTATTTCTAAATTATTACGTTTTCAAGATCTTTTAGGCAAGATGCAAGGTTTAAAGATCGTTTCGTTTGGTGTCTGAAGTTTTTCTATCATATTTTTGCTTTATTAAATTCACAATAGATTTCAACAGTTAGGTGCATGAGGCAATATGTACAGCATTGTCTATCAGACTATCTGCTCAGTTTACTGTAGAGTATCTCTTTGGGTCATAGGTGATGATAGGATATATGACCTGGTTATCTGTCTACCTGCGACTCTCTTTTCCTGGATGTGTGGGTCAGGAAGATGATCCCCTGTCTTCCTGAAATGTAGTAATGTTAGACTGCAGTGTCCTCTTTCGCTCTTCCTTCCTCTGGAAGGTGTTGTATTGGCTTCCTCTCCTGATGGCCTCTCCTCAGGATGAAAGTACAGTGCCTCTCTTCTCTGTCCTGGGATGGGGTGTACCTTTGGTAGGAATGCATCTCCATCCTTGACCTTCTTCCTGATGGACTCCTCATCAATCCTTGGGGCTGCGAGTCTTTGTCAGGTCAGTGTTGTTACGGATTACAGGATCAGGGCATCACATTCAGTGGTGGACGCACGGATTTCAGTTTGTTCTCTATGGCGATATGCCAAGGTAAAAAATAAACCAAAAGCTTTATCTATGCAAGTTTTCCAATGTTGTGTTGAAGTCATCACAATTACTTTAATCTTACATTTTTTTAATCTCTCTCTGCTCTACCTTGTAATTATAGCTGTACATGGATATTATTGTGACAAATAAGGGACCAGGTCATCTAAAGGCGTTTGCTTTCTGCCTTGTATCTGCCATTCATCACCCCTTTTTCATGCTGTAAATAACTGTGCTTCATTATATTCTTACTGTGATGTGTGAAACTGAATAAACCGAGCCAAACCAAACCAAGTCCTAAGCTGTTCACTGAACTGTGACAAAAGTACCTGTTTGTTATTGCTCACCCTGTTCCAAACTGGTCTTGTGAAAGGACTTGTGATGGACCAAACTATAACACTGCACGTTTCAGTAGTTTTCCTATTAAACATGCTATTTCAAAATATTCATTTTGATCAGTGCTTTTTAAAGTGCGAAAATACTTTCATTCAAGTTATATTACTGCTAGATCTCTTAGTTTCAAGGTGAATTTGAAAGTGTTCAAAAATGATCTGATTTCCTTTTGCCAAAATCAACTTATATTTCCCGCTCTTACCATTATCCGCTTTTCTGTTCATACCCGTCTTAAAATATGGCCCCTCTTTTCTGTTGCAACCGATTCTGCAGCGCAGTTTTTCTATCTTAAATTAAGTCTCACCCCGACAAATATTGACATTTTTTATTTAACCCCTCCCCATTTATTACTTCTCCAGAGACTATGCAGTTTAATTTAATTTACTTTAATTTAATTAAGTGAACCATTTTGCCTCTTATTAGATTGATGTGTACTGAAAAGATTATGTTCCTTGTGATGGGCTCCTATTAAAATCTACTTTAGTGAGTAAAAGAGAAAGAGAATAGTTTAGTGGATTAGAAGTAAAATTATACCTGCTGATTACCCAGTCTGATGAATAGAATGCTTTAAGTCCTGTGACAAATAATTAATCTTTCCCTCCTTAGGCTTGAAGTATCTGTTAGTTATTCTATAAAACTTATTTAAATGACAAATGCACTCTTGGGAATGATTTCCCCCTTTTTTAACAGACAGGCTGCCTGTTTTTCTTTCTTGGTCTTTGCTGATTTCCAGTGTCCGATCAATCTTTGTCTGATCCGTGGTCCTGATGGAACCCTCTGTGTCTCAGCTTCACACACTACATATCAAAGTGAAAAATTCACTAGATAACATGTCACACACTAACAGTAATGCTAGATTACGACATGATTACTTTGAAACTCCCGATGGTAGATCTTGAAACTAGTTTTGCAAAAAATTAGTTGAGAATGGTTTTTTTCCACTGTACATTTATCAAACAAATAAAATTAAACACACTAACTTTGCTGCAGCTTTGTGGTAGAAATTGTATACAGGTCTTGTTATTGTACATTTAAATTGCTGTTTAACTTTTAACATAATGTACCAATCACCAACTGTCAGGGTGCAATTCACCAAATTGTTGTATTTCTGTGCACAAGCTCAGTAGTATTTTGTTATCCCCGGATTTTTACGAGACAGGCCATAATCAGGAGGCGTTATAGAAATATTTCTATCAATCCCGAATTTAGGCCTAATAGTTTCAAGTTTGGGGTATTTCTTTCACAAAAAGCCCCATATCACGGACCTATTTTGGATAGAGGCGGGCCGCTACATTAAGAAATGAGCACTTAGTTTTACTGCTATTTTGGGGGTATCTTTGTTCAAAGGCAAATAAAAAACATTTTTGAGGCTACCCCCCATGAAATTGTAATGAAAAGTGATCTTCTGGCCATAATCTTGAATTTCCAGTGAAAAAATGGAGGCCAACCTCTTCACGAGAGTCAACAGGTGGCACTATTTTGGTCCAATTTGCACTGTTTCCTATGGGTGCGTATTGGTGTAGTGCAACCCTCAATGTTAAAACCAAGCAATTACAGACTTAATGTGTGAACTAAAATGAGTTTGTTAACTTGAGTACAAATGGGCACTAAAGACCTCTCTCAGGGTGCAGCCATCTTGCTTTTCTACTATTCAAAGCAAATTTACCAAACTGATGAGGCTGGATGGAAAAATAGTCTGTTCCCCTTTCATCAATATGTGAAGTTGTATTACCATTGCCAATGGGTGTATGGGGAACAAGACAAAAATGGCAGCCTCATGATATAGGTCTATACTCAGGACTTTATTTTCTTCATAAAAAATCAAACTTTCTTACCAGATCTATTACCCATACTTAGTTTGATGAGCATAACTGGGAAGTTGTGACAATGAAGTATTTGTAGATTTCTATGGTATCCCTAATTCTGTATGTTTACTTTTACTTTAATTTTCTGTTCATTTATTTCTCCGCACACTCCGGTAAGAGACAACACCTCACCTTGGTGCATCTGTGTGTTGCTGTATCACCAGCCAATGAATAGTTTGTCCAGTAGAACGACGATCACCTTGGTGGAACAAGATTTCAGGATGCCACTGTCCTGGTTGTGTTTTTGCCCCGAGTCTTCAGGAAGGGAGAGGTCCATAGGCTGGTAAGTCTGGTAGACCACCAGTTAGCCACCAAACGATGGTCATGGATACACGCTCATCATGGGTTACCACTTTGATGAATGCCACAAGTGGCAACGTAGGGCACAGGGCCGGGTCTGATGAGGGTCTACTGGGGTGGCTAGAGATCTCTCTTAGGAAGACTCAAAAGGATCCGAGGAGCGTGGCTTGACAACAATGATTCTGTACAAACAGTGGTCAATATGGCAGTAGAAATCAATTAGAGCACTTTTTGATAATCAGGTTCAACAGTCATTCTAAGGAACTAATTTATAATACTTAGACTGATCAGCACAATGACACATTTTTGATAAGTTGAATAAATTAACTTCTGGTATTCTTCCAAGCCTTTCAAAATACTTTCTGCCTCACTCTGGAACACACTTGATAAGGCTGAATATACCTCACAGAGCTTAGCTCACCTGTGGGTCCTTCTGTATCCTGGGTCTTTGTAGGTCTGAATGCTGCTCTGTTGTTCAACTGGTGTTGGCTGGCTGGTGTCTGTAGCCAAGCCAGCCCCATGATAGGTGACATTCCTGGGCTGGCTTGGCAGCTGGGCAGCTTGGACCACAGACTGGGACTGGGGTCGATTACTAGACTGGCCTTGCCCCTCCCTTCGATGGCTTGTCCAGTCTGTGATGGCCCAAGCTGCTGGGGAACGGGGATCCAAACCCGGAAGTAATTGGCTGGGCCCTACTGGTTTTGAAGAGGCACCAACTCCAGGTGGGATGCTGCCACCGGAACCAGCAGTGCTGGCCGAGGAGGTATCTTTCTCTGTCTTCAGGGGGGAGACCTTGCTGGTGTACCTCCCTGTATATGTTTCTTTGACTGACCTCCATCGGTCCCACTCTCTAGTGCTGCCATTTGATAATACCTGGGAACTTGGAGATCTGCAAAGCAAGCAGTGTGGTGAAAAATTAGAGAATGTTTAGTGGCACAATTTACAGAAATTAGTGAACAGAAAGTTAATTGGGCATAAAACCCCTTTTGTAGGAATTTACTACTTAGAAGTAACATTTTTCCCAGATGGTTTTGCTATGATAAACAAAGCCTTTCCACATCTTAATGAATGTAATTCTCATTAATACTTCATTATTGAGTTCCAGAAACTAATTCATTTTAGAACATAATTTGAAAATCGGCTTACCCATTAGCAATGGCAGTCTCATAAACGGAACCTGCCAGTGGTTTGGGGGCACCTGTTCCCTTACCCCTCAACTCCCTGAGGAATCTACGGACACGTTGGACAAGTCCGCCTTTCTTGGCCAGCCCAGAGGGTCCTGCTGTCCCCTTTTTGTCCTCTCCTTCCCCAGATTTGCGAGTTGAGGACAGGCTTCCAAATAGATTGACCATACTTGGTGACGGTTCTGTTTTGGCACTAGAGCCGCTTTTACTGTTGTCACTCTTCTGAGGGCTGTCAGTATTCACAATACATGTATATGTCAATATACAGAGAACCATACCACTGATATGCTACAAAGTAATCAAGTGAAGCAGATGTTTGCTTTTTTTGTTTGTAATTCTCTTGATTTTGTGCAGATTTTTAAAATAGTTATTGCAAACAGAAAAATTCTTTTATGTTGCTGTTTATTAATTACATTTCAATTTCTTTTGGTATTTTCCATTTAAACAAAAAGATTAAAAATATTAAAACTCTGATTCACAAATGTTGTCAATTAGCTCTGCTGATTGTACTGTGGGCAATTGCTTGTGGGTATAATAATTTGAAAGAATATGACACTCCTTGAAAGCTGCTTGAAATTTATTACTTTTTTTGGTAACCTTTTTTACATTCCTTCTAACTGGACGATAAAACTAATGTAAGGCCTAGCTAGTCCTTCTATCTATCTTCCTGGTTGTTATTTGAACCTTCTGAGACCTAGGCCTTAGCTATAGGCCTAGGCCTTTTTTTTAAAGCCAGCACCAGAATTAGCCTCCTTGTCTTGGCAAGGGGCCCCAGGCTTTATTGTTAGTTTTACTCTCTACATTATTCACTAGGCACAGGCGTGGTAGGCCTATTAGTAGTACTACCTTAAAGTCTATGAGGACTGTGAATTTAAACATTTCTTTGTGCGTGCGCGTGTTTTTAATCATCTCCAATGCCTAAGTTTCACATGTAAGTGAGCTTATACACTGTACATAGGCTAGGCCTATAGGCACAAGACAATGCAAGTTGGCATCCTTTGACTTTTGATTTTTTTCGTAAAATCTTAATTTTAAACTGGTTCCATTCACTATCTTCAGTGATATTTGCCACCCTTAAAAACTCACCTTGTCTTGATCTGCACCGTGTCAATATCCACCAAGTCTGCGGCATGACCTCGCTCCAAAGCATCCAACGGGTCGGTTACCTTGGTTGATTCCCGTCGGAAGATGTTCATCCGCCGGCCCAGCAACTTTTTCGACCCTTTTCCTTTCTTTTCTGGCCCGGTGCTAAATTCGGCTCTTGTGGGCCGCTTTTTCCCCTGCCTTTTCTTCGACTTCAGCTTCCAGGTCGTGCCTGTAGGCATGAGGGGAGCGCCTAGCATCGCCGTCGGCAAGGCGACTTGCTGGTTGATGTTATCAGACATGTTTCAATGTACAACTCACTTCGGAAAACCGATGACAGAATTAACGCAACGAGCTGAGTATTGTGTCCCATCGAAAGTTACTAGCGCTTAATTTATGTAAACAAAACAAACATGTCTCAGCGCGCATGCTCCCGCAAAAGTGTGTTCAACTCTGCGTTTCAACGAACTTGAACTTTGAAGTCCAGCCAGAATGTAAATTTGATGCAATCTTGCACCATGAATTATAAACATTTTCAGAAACCTGTTCAAATACTCGTATGCTTGTTCTGGACTCTGTCATACGCAATACACAGAATCTGGGAATTCGACCAAGTTTTGCCAAAGTTTGGAAAACTTTGCGCGGTTCGCGTGTTCGGTCAAATGAGGGCGCCATATCACTTTCCACCCGATATACTCAGTACTCATCAGCTCGACTCATGATCACTGGCATGGTTAGTAATAGCAAAGATTATATAGCGCCGCGCAGCGCTGTACAATCTTTGGTAATAGTAGTGATAATGGCCGACGTACCTGAAAACGCTCCTGAACGTAAGGGCTTTTAATAATCATTTCAGTGCTTTTTTTGTTCGGGAAAGGGGTTTTGAAAATAACTTACACCAGCAATAGGCCCTAGGTGAGCCCAGGGGTGCATTTAATAGCGCAGTAGGCCTGTGTAATGCATTGGAGCAATGCTTAAATTTCTTCGTCACGTTAGCATGCCTGCGTGGCTAATAACTAGTCATAGTCGGGTACGCACTGTTACAGTGTTAGTTAGCACTGCCATAGCATTGCGTTGGTTACCGTTTAAATTAAATTAACCAGTCATTTATCATTTTTATGCAGCATGCAAATTATGATAGGTTTAATGTTTCTTAGAATTTCAAGACCGAAGGCTAACGATATTCTATAAAATTCACTGGGGTTTGGCTGCCGTCAACATGTCATTTTGAGTCCAAGAATTTAGATGCTACAGTCAACTCAAGGTAATTCTGTAGGCCTAGTTTAAACTAAAACTGAAAGCATTGCCATGACTTCAAGACTGAGTCAATGGGGAATCGGGTTGGCGTACGCATGGTGGTTCTTTCCTCTCCTAGCCTTGAAGTTAAAGTTCCACCTCTGCAGTCTGGGTATGATTCCGGGATCAGTCACCATGTCATGCATGTGGATTGAGTTTTTACTTCCTACCTGACTCTGGGGGCTTGACCCAGACTATTCTACGATTTTCTTCCCACTTCTAAAACTGTAACTGCTTAACTGCTTCTCATTTCAATGTGCCTGAGTTTTTAAGTACTATATCATGTGCCAACTTCACTATGAAGTGGGCGCATCTCTTGGAAAAGAAGATGATTTTCACTGCCAAATTAAGAATGGTGAACATAACTAACGTCCGTGACGGTGTACTATAGTGTAGGCCCCTGGCCCTGGTCACCAGGTCCCTTAGGTAGGGCCTACACGTAGGGCATATATTTCACGATTTACTGTGGTAACCAACCTAACTTGACAATAAGTGGTGAAGTTAGGGCCTGTCATGTCTGCTCAGCATAATCTTGAATCTTATGCAACTTCTTTGATAGGCCCATTTCCTCCTGAGTTGATTTGCTTTTGTATGAAATCCATTTTTAGGGCAATCAACTCAGGAGGGAGTACAATAAATTTGTGCACGAGTCAAGATTGTGCTGAACAGACCTGTCATGCCTTAGGCCTACCTTTAAGTAGGCGGTAATATTTGGATTCCAGTATTCTGTTAAAGTGCAGTGGAGGCTCATTGATATGCACACTACCCGTCATGCACCAGTACCATGATTCAAGCCCAGTACTGGTTGTCCATTTTTTATGCAACTTTTTTGTTCTCTTGTTTTTGGGGTTTTTTTTTCAATCACATGTCATGCTTACTTTCCGTGGATGTTTTTCCTTTCTGCTGATGTAGATTCTTAACCAAAGTTGGTCTATACAAATCATGTTAATCATAACTGAATATTTAATCATGCTAAACATCCTTGAGGAGGATGATCAAAGATTCCCTGACTGTTCGTTTGGAATGTTACAGCAGTCGTTCAACATCAAATTAGCTCTTGTCATTGTGGAAGTATTTTCACTTTTTTCTTTCTCACAACCCTGCTGCAAATCTCTTTGCCAAGCAAGTTTTTTCATTACCCCATAAAAACAAACTTGTGGCTTTTTTAAACCCTGATAATTCAGCAAAGACTTACTTTACAACAAATATGATTGGTTAGTAAAATCATCCCTCTCCGATTTCTTTGGTGTGACGTACATGTATGCCACTTGAGTGACTGTGTCAGTTTTGCCATAATTTGTTGCAATGCGTAACTTTTGAGAAATGTGCCATAATTTGTTGCAAAACTAAAATGCAGTGTAAGCGAAGTTAACCCATGAAGTTTCGTGTATACCACCTGGAATGCATCTCAAAATACCCCCCCCCCATCAGTTTTGGGTTAGAAACTGGGAGGGGGGGTACGTCGCTCAGAATATAATGTTATCCGGTACATCGTAATCAGGAATAAGTCGCTGAGGCCGTTTTACGTAATGGCCGAGTAAAGCGGGGATGTGAGTTAATGTTGAAAAAATCAATATGGCAGTTTCTGTATATTTTGGCAGTGTACATGTTCGTATGAAAGGTTACCATCCACACACTTGTAATGTGTGCCATTTGAAAGCTTATGAAATTCTCTTTCTGACCATGTACATAATTAAGTCAGTTTGTGACTTATTCCTGATTTCGATGTACCGAGTCACATGTAAATACTGTCAATTTCAAGGATATTGACTTGGAGAAATCAATTCAGCATTCACATAACAGATTCTTCAGTAGTAAGTGTACATAGATTAGGATTGTTTCCTCTCTTGGTGTGATTTTTTCCAGACTGCCCTGGAACACAGAGCGAATCAGCCGGCAAAGTCTCGGCATGCCAAGGCTGCCCAAATCAGAACATATGTGCCAGTGGGCTGCCCAGGGCACCTGACCCTGGTAAGGTTTCTTGTATGCCCAGCAAGAAAGGAGACCGAGGGGTACCCCCCAACATGTCCAATCCCTATATACATTCCAGACTATTGTTACTTAACACATCCCCCCCAAGATGTCTGAAAGGAATTCCCCAGATTCCTGCGAGACAATGACCAACACAAAGCAGGGGGGGTTCTCTCTGTCTCAAACCTTGCTGCATATGGTTTCTTGTTGAAAAATTCCATGAATGCCAAGTTCTTTAGTGGTTTGACCCTTGTCAGGTTTCTGATCATACCACCAGCACTAACCTAACTAACTTGGCTTTTCTGTGCGATTCATTGATGAACTGGGAGATTTTGCTTTGGAAAGGAAAGTCCAAGAACCATTGTAAACTGGACAGCAAAAGAAACTTGCCACTTCTGTCAAAGCCACACATAAAAATGCACTCCATAGAAATAAACAATTTTTGTACACAGGTATGCTGCAATACCCCTTACTAATTACATGACCAAATGCAAGTGATTATCTTTATAACAAAGAAACAATTGACTTGTATATCAACTTGGTTATTGAATCAAAAGTCACAGAATGTAACAGAGTGAGCCTTAAGTTTTACGCAGAAATCAACGTCACAGGACGAAATAAAGAAATCATGATCATTACTTTTCAATAATGTGTATACATAGTCAGTAAGGATGGCATCCCTGTACAGAAACCACTCATGCACATCATTTTGACAAAACAGGTGTTCACTTTGTCATTGGTTGTTTAAAATGTTGTCCATTCATGGGTCATTTTTGCTTGATGGAGAGTGCTTTTGTGTGTGACTTTTGATTCAGTAACCAAGTTGCTGTGCATGTCAATTTCTTCTTTGTTATAAAGATAATCACTTTCTTTTGGGCATGTGATTAGTAAGGGGTATTGCAGCATACCTGTGTACAAAAATTGTTCATTTCTGTGGAGTGAATTTTTATGTGTGGCCTTTGACAGAAGTGGCAAGTTTCTTTTGATGTCCAGTGTATTATAAAAGAAAAAATAGGTCCAGTTACATGGTTATGCCCATATCAGAGGATAGTGACCTACTTGCAGTGTTTGAATATTTGTTCAAATTTGCCTGCTATATAAAAGATACAGCTTCTTCAGTGCACTTTGCCGCCAGTGTGGTTGAGCACAGTGCTGTACTCTTTGTACCCAAGTACGTGTTACATTTCTTGCAACGAATTGTCTACAAAATATGGTGGAATTTGATGCATTTAACAAGACTTGGGTTAATTTATGTCACTGATTCTGTCATCACATACATGTACATGTACGTATGTCTTTGGCCTGTGTCCTCTACACTTTCTACAGCCATTGAGGAGATCCGTGAACGAATGTCCTCGGTCAAACACAAGATCCTCGTACTTTCAGGCAAAGGAGGGGTGGGCAAAAGCACCTTCACAGCTCACCTCGCTAGGGGTCTCGCTAGAGATGAAAGTACTCAGGTAAGACCTCTGGTTCCTAGTATAGCAGGTCAGTCAATTTTCCAATCTCCTAGCAATCTGCTCAACTACAACGGGGAAAATGGAGCTTAATGTTGTATATATAATGTTGGCTTTTTCCATATCTCATTTTTTAAATATGCATTGATTAGGATGTACTCAGATCTTATTGTTTCAACTCTGTTTCATACAGTTGTACTTGAATATGCCGACATCAGTGTGATTCGAAAGTGATATAGTTTACCTAGGGATAATGCTTGTGGGTTCATCACGGAAGCAATCTCTTTTAGGAAGGAGTGATGGCTCTGTAAAGAGCTGATGATGAGAAAAGGTTGCCACATTTCAAGCTGCACTCTCTGTTCTCTTCCAGGAAATGGTTTTGATCATTCCAAATATGTGTAAAAGTTGATTGAACGACCAGTGGTTCAAAAGTAACTCTGCCGCTTAAATTACTCATTTTGCAAGGGTGGGTCATAGTTTGCAATCACAGTGCAAGCCTTTGAGTCAAGATTGAAGCCAACAGCTTCTGTCATCGTTTCCCATCTTGTTCGGTTCAAAACAGAGTTTTTACAATCAGTGCTTGAGCAGGAATGTTACATTGGTCAACAGTTCTAAACTTATTTCAAGAAGTCAGTTGGTATTGTTAACATTAACCCTAACACTCCTCAGTCCTCCAACAGGTGAAGGATTGAGGAGGGTAAGGGTTAACGTGTATCTCTTTCATTGACTTGTCAGCTACATCCAGTCCTTGGATCTGTAGTGTTTATTATAGTGAGATTTCATGTCTTTGGATCACCATTACATTTAAACTGGTAGTCCACTGAAGATTTGAAGTCAGTTTAGCTAGAAAGCTTGGCGAAGGTGTCGAGTTGAGTCGTGTCCTCAAAGGGAAAACTATCAGTATCTTCACGGCAATCGTTTCCACTCATTGACAGGTAGCTGTTTTAGACATTGACATCTGTGGTCCATCCATCCCGAGGGTCATGGGCTTGGAAGGGGAACAGGTTCACCAGAGTGGGTCAGGATGGTCACCTGTGGTAAGTTGATCCACCATCAGAGAGAGATAAAGGCCACATCCAAGCCAGGCGGTGCTTACTACAGCTAGGGCTATGCACTGTAATACATCGGTGGAAAATCCTGAAGCCATAGCCATGCAATAGTAGATCATATTTGCCCAACATCTGTCACCTGACTTGCTAGGCCATAGTCCTGGTTTTGACAACCAGTGGTTTGCAAACTGAAGCTGATCACTACAACAAAACAAGAATTTGGGACAAATCTCTCCCAACTTCTCAAAAAATTATGATAAAATTATGATAAATATTATTAGCTCTAAATGAAAATAACTTCCTGCTGTAAGATTATAAATGCTTTTAGGGCTAAATCCTCCATTTTCCATGATTTTTACACACACCCTGTGGAGTTACCCTGATGGAGCAAATGTACATAAAAAAAAGGTTTAACCAATTGAATGAATTGAACTGTCTGCAAACTTTGTCCACCTGCTCAAATTGGCAGTCAGTGTTTGTAAACAGCGAAAAGGTCTGTTTTGAGCACATTGTCCTGAGACATAAAACGGGGGATATCAACCCCCAGCCCACTTCACTAATGACAGACGGTCTTTCAAGTAACCCTTCAAGAACCATATTTTCATGGATTGACATGGTTTCTCTCTCTGAAATTGATGACAAATTGTGGTTCTGTAAGAGTTGCAGAGTAAAACTAGTGTCAGTGTAATTTTCCAGAAAGTGTGCATTTTTTTCACTTCATGCGCAATGATGTTGGCTGTCGTCGGCAGATACATATGTTGAATTCCTTTTTTTTTTGTGAATGTCATTCATTTTGTTTAGTACGTTGAAGACAACCTGAGTGTGATGTCTGTTGGTTTCCTGTTGAGTAGCCCAGATGATGCTGTCATTTGGAGAGGTCCAAAGAAAAATGGTAATAACTTTATTCACCGATATGTTGCATGCGCATGTAGTGCATACGTGAGACCAGTTGTGGTCATGATTTGATTTTGTGTCCTTTGGGGACAAAACGTGGAGAGCGAATGCGCAGACCCAGTAATGATGTTTCGTGGTACTGTTATGTTATGAACATGCAAAAATAGTGTGTGAGTAGATAGTTAAAAACCTCTGGCAGAAAAGATCCCCAGGAAATTTGTCAAGCATGCTGTCATTAATCCCAGAATCCCGTCACTGATGCAACGTGACATTGTGCTTTGCATTATGGCGCCATGAAATTCTCAGATTTGATTATTTCCCAAAGACTGGAGTTAGTGGGTGCAGTTTCAAAAGGGCCTCTGTTATCACGTCCAACCGAAGATCCTCTTTCAATTTCTTACTCACACTTACAAGATTCGAGGGACAGAGAGTGTAATTATCCTCCTCGTAGAATGACCTTGCACGTCCCTTTCCATTTCAAATACAAAAATATGAAAAGGGTTTGAAAGTATGATTAGGTGTCATTTGCTGAGAGTCTCTTGTGCCTTCCTGGTGTTATTGCAGGTCTTATCAAGCAGTTCTTGCGAGATGTAGACTGGGGCGACACAGACTACCTCGTTGTAGACACTCCACCTGGGACGTCCGACGAACACCTGTCTATTGTACAGTACCTCAGCTGCACCAATGTGGATGGTGCTGTGCTTGTTACGACACCGCAGGTAAGAACTTCAGTTTGTTTAACCCATGCAGGAGGGTCACCTGAGTGAGCAGCACGTGAAAGCTCCGGGAGCTTTGAGAGCACCTGACAAGCATCCACTACTTGTTTCCTAGTTGTCAGGGCCACACAAAAGTTTGACTGTAGTTTTTATGGGAGGAAAACAAGCAGTGTGTTTAGTTACTTTCCTGGCACTCACTTTTGAGAGCAGGACTGCAAATGATGTGACGCACATGATTTCACGCATTTACTTAGAACTGGCCCAAGAAACCAACCCATGTGAGCTGGTTATTTGAAGCAAACCACAAAAGAATGCAAAATGATGTGTGTTTGATGTCTAGCTTTTGACCAGTCAGATATATTTGAACCACTTCCTGCCGGGGCAGTTATCAATGTTGATGATGCTGGGCTGGGATATTTATCATTTTTGTCTATTTTTTTTTCAAAATTCTTTAAAAATTCCTATCTTCAGTTACAGGACACTTACAAACATGTGAAGGACTGTAAGCGTTTTCCAAAATCCACACAGACAGATGAGATGGTGTCCACATGCCATCAAAATGATCACTGTTCAAGTAATTACTTGAATTTTTGAATGAAGAATGTAAATTATTAAAATATCTTGGTGGCCTCAGTGATGTTCTTTAGAATATCTGACATCATGTAGAATGTGACCAGAACAGACTCTACCAACCTAAATGGCCTAATAAACAATGAAAATTTTGACTTGAAAACTCTTCAGTGTTACTGTCGCATACATTTCCATCAAAGAGTTTCAGAAGGGGCTCACAACAAACGTTCTCGTTTTCTAAAGAAATATATCCAGGAAGCCCGCAGTCTTGAAAGACGCATTGTGTTGGCTACTGTCAGACAACATGAAGCAAATAAACCAAATGCTTTTCTAAGCAGTAATTTTCACAATGCATCCAACATCGCTTTTGATGTTCCTTGCAGAACGGCACGTTGTCATCTGTGCAAATAAGATCAAATGCTGTAATAACATCAGTTGACCTCAAAGCAGATTTTGTGTAGAGAATTACTAGGGCTTCTGCCACAGTTCCCTGACTACCTGTTTTTGACATGAAGATAATACATTGCACTGTTGAAAACAATTATTTTCTCCTTTATTTTATTTCTGTTTATCCAACAGCACATTTAATTAACAATTAAAAGGAGGGTTATGAGTGGCAGCGATAAAGACAGTGAAGACATGTGTTCAGCTTTAGGGTGGGAGGAAAACCCTGGACAAATGTTCCAGGAAAAAACCACAGCATGAGGTAGGGACTAAAAACCCAGTCCACAGAGTCGGGATTCAAACCTGGTATCATAGAGATGAAAGGCCAGGAAAGTACCACTACAACCTAACTCGCCCAAAATAAATTCTCCTTTAATGGTAACCAGTGAGCAAACTTCTAACTAGTTGAGGAATAAGCATTTTATAACATTTTCTCATAGCAAATGCTTAATTGTGAATTTGCAGGAGATCTCTCTGATGGACGTCCGCAAAGAAATCAGTTTTTGCCGCAAGGTCAACCTGCCAATCCTTGGCATTGTTGAGAACATGAGTGGCTTCGTCTGCCCCAAGTGCAAAGTGAGTACAATTCAAAATTTTCCCTCGCTCATTAGCAAGTAGGAGGGGGCCAACGAGGACCAAGGCAGTCTCCTCCCCCCCCAAAAAGGAGCAAAATTTTGTTGCTTTTGAAAAGCAAATGGAGAAAGGAAATTTTTGAGACCGTTTCATTTTCATTCCTTCAAAAGCGTGTTTAAAGCCCCGAGACTTGGCGTCAGCCCCTAGTAGGCCATAAAAGGTTTCATAAAAAATTTCCAAATTTTTGACCCACCACCCAAAGAAAACATCACCCCCCCCAAAAAAAATTACTTTCTAGATCCGCCTTTGTCCTGTTTTCTGTTCTTTTGATTTATATGATGTCATATGGTAAAATATTGTTATTTCTTGCCCGTATATCCATTTGAGAGATTCTGGTGAACAGGATTGTGAAAAGCACTCTATATGTTTGCAAAACCTTAATTTTACTTCCTTTATAACATCGAAATGCAAATGCCCTTTTAAAAAGTTTACTTTGACTTTCCAAAACTTTCACTTATTGCCTAAACTAATTGAACAATTTCTACACATTTTCTTCTCTTGTCCTCTCAACTTAATCTTATATCCACACGTTACAGCTCAATCAAGCAATCTAAAATTCAGTTGGCATCTTTGGTAACTACAACAGTAAATTCACAAATGCACACTTTTAACCACATGCATGTACATGTACACTGTAATTTTCTTATTGGTTCATGTATTTATTAAAAACATTTTTTAAAATGTGTCTTCAGATGTATCGCAGATGCCTTGTTTTCCCACCACCATTGCTGTATGTAAGAAATACATCAATTATTAATAACCAGGTTTACTTGTACGGTATGTACATGTGCCACTCAGCTGTTGCTCATCTGTCAGTCACTGTTTTTCTTCTTAATGACAGCCTGAAGTTCCGTTACGATTAAAATTTGTAGTGCATTTTACACACCAGTCACCACCGGCTACTGATGCTTAGGATCGGAGGGCAGGTACCATTCAACTGCTCTCTCAGCCCCAGTCGGTGAAGTGAGGCTCCTGGCATTCACTCGAAACTGAAACGGCACCAGTCTGTTGATCTCCTTCCGGAAGTCACGCATTTGCAGCCCCTCACACTTCATGGCCTCCTTGAGAGACGGGATGTGGTCCAGCTCCGGGATGTGTAAGCTGCCAGCCATCATGTTTGCTCGTAGATATGCCAGAAACCAGTGAGTGTTGTTGAAGTACTCAAGCTGGTTGGTGATAGCCAAGGGGCATAAAAGCTCCTTCCCTGTGTCGTCTTTGCAGAGCTGCATCGTTGCTTTGGTTGATTCTTTTATGTCTCTGCCCGAGTGTTCATCACAAACATTTGCCTCAGGTATATGATATAATATCCAATTTGTTGTCTCAGTAACAAGCGCAGCATTCTTGTTGTTTGGATTCATCAGTGACCTGAGAACTCGAAGAAGCTTGCGGAAGCCAACATAGTCGGCAAGGTTGGATGTGAAGATTCTGTCAAACTTGGCCATTTGGAGGGCTTGGTGGTGATGTGGGATGTCAAGGAAATTGGAAACCAGAATATGAATGTGGAGCCTGCCTTGAGCAAAGAGGGTCAATGTTTTCTGTAGCTGCTGGACCACGTACTCGTGGTACATGGTGATGACAGAAAAGTTCTCCCCTGCGCTCTTCTTGACTTGCAAACTGTCCCAAGCTGTGAAAGGTGTGAAATTATAAAAAATACAGTAGACAAAATCCAGAGATGTTATACCTTCACTCACAATTTGCAGGTCTCTTCCTGTAAGAGTTGGATTGTTGAATAATAAATTGCCAGTAGAGCTATTGCTGGGAAGAAACAGGCCGTGTTGGAACCACTTCTTTAAATAAATGGCCTCATTTGGAGATAGTCTTTGATAGTAGAGCCTTAATTGGTGGTCAAGAAAGGGATTCAGTGCCAGGGCAGCCTGTCTTTGTTTTGTGAGATTAATCGAGGAACATTTTGTGCGATCACACTGGAGGGAGCGCCATCCTTGCCAGACCTTACGGAGTTCAGTGAGGTCCTTGTTGCTGATGAGCACGGACCCTCTCGTGGCTTCTTGAAGGCTCTCGGCATCGGCTTGGATGAGTTTCTCCAGGCTGGTCTTGATCAGGTCGTAGTCACTCTTGGAGATGTGAAGAGAATACCAAATTGTGGCCAAGCTGGTGGCAATGCCATCACTGTCTGAATGTTGAATCAACATGTAAAGGAACAGGACATTCCTAGCCATGACGTAACGGTCCCAGTCATTCAGCACAATTGACAGTTTTCCCTGGTACTTCGCAGGCAATGAGGCAGCCGTCAGCACTGTATTTCGCAGATCTTCACATCCTGCTGAGAGGATGTTGAAGTCACGTGCTGTCTCTTCTTCGTTGATTCCATCTGCCCATTCATTCTGCTCAAGCTGAAGGAAATCACGTGCCATCGTGCTGCCAAAGTAACAAGGATTGTCCATGCTTTGTTCACAAATTTGGGTGATGTCATTTTTTGCTAGTTCGGTGTACCGCTCAGTCAGTTTTTGAGACAGACCTGTAATCCTTTCCTGGATGCCTTTGCAGTCTGCCTTGTGAGCTGCCCAGTTCTTCCTTTGGCATGTGGCATTACAGTACCAGGCATTGTTGCATCCTGAACACTGCAAGTAGACAGAAGTTGCATTAGTCACTTTAGGTAGTTTCCAAAAATAGATCATTTTGAAAGTCTTACATGTTTAGACTGTCATTGTCCTGTATGCTGTAGAGCATTGTTGGAGGTCTGGAGGCTGGCCTCAGTCTCGAGGCCGGTTTTTCAAAGCCTTGGCGTTGGCTTCGGCCTCGCAACCCAATGACTCAGACTTGGCCTTGGACTCGGAATCCTCTTGACTCAAAAAAAGCAGTCGACGCCAGTTCAAGGCCGCCCGTTTTTAGTCAGTCTTCTCAGCTTTTACTTTTCCCCGAAATTTTATTGTGACAAACTACTTGCGACGTGCATGTGCATGGATCATTTTTGTGTACAAACACATGGTACTGCACCCGGACTCGATGCGGCTTAATGGTTTTTTGCTTCCAGGGAACATTCTTATTTTCATTGATTGCTGCGTGAATACGGGCGATCCACCAAGAGTTTGCCATGCGTTGGCCAATCACAACGCCCGAAATTTGTCGACCCTTTCCAAACGCACAGTGGGTCAACAAATTTCGCGCATTGTGATTGGCCAACGCGTGGCAAACTCTTGGTGGCGCACTATTGTGAAACGGCCGTATTGGGCTACATGTACTCTTTGAAAGTGCACTGTTATTTTTCGACGGCCAGCGATGGGCATGCATATACGATGGCCGGTCAACATGACAGTTTACATGCGATAGTTTCGCATGTGCCACCGTGCTCAGGGTGGGTGGACGTGGTTAGCATAAAGTGCTATTTTTTGTGCTTTTTCAGAAAGATTACATGTACAATCGTTTTCCTAGTTCCAGATTTTTCCTAGTTCCGGATCATTTGAGATAAAAACCTTAATGTACCTCTGTTGTGCTGTTGTTCAGCTCTACATTCCAAGACTAGTTCTGCTTGAAAGGTGAAATGTGGGCTTCTTGGTGTACAAAAATTGATCTCAAAAAATTTCTAGAAAAGAAATTTTGGCCAGCTTTCCAATACGCACTGTGACATTTTTTCATTAGTTCATATGTATTCTTATTTCTGAAATAGTTTTCTGTAAATTAAGAAATTCTTCATTAGAAAATCAGCTTGTTACAGTGCTTCTGGCTGCAAAATGGATGTTGCATGAGATTACTTTGTATTTGTTAAAAAGTGTTTGTCGCGATCTGGAACTGATTAAACTGATCCAGAACTAAGAAAAGTGTCCTCGTCACTTTCGTCGATCCTGTAAGTCCAGCTAAGATTGTGGAAATAATTCAGTAGTATCTCCAGCACACAAGGCCGACTACTGACCACAATTCACCAGAATTTAAAGACATGTAGCTGCAATCTGACTGAATAATTTTTGCGATCTGGAACAAGAAAAATGACGGATTATCATTTTTGGAAGCACTCCTGATTTTTTTCTTTTATTTCTTGTTGAAAAATAGTTACATTCACTCACAAATTAATTTAGTTGCTGGACTTTTTTGGCAACCGTGCAACCATCTGTAAACTGTCTTACTTTTTTTTTGGGGGGGGGGGATTTATAGCCTGCATTTAAGTAATTCTGTCCTTTACCCTTGACCCCTAAGGAACTGTCTATAGACTGTATTTGTCAATGGAGGTGCTGCATTGTATATGGCATGTACAGTATTTCACCTGGGCTTAGAAAATCTTAAAAATGGTTACTAATTTATACAGTGTATGTGACTTTAATTAAATTGCTTGATTCAGATCAAATAATTTAAATCACGATTTTCTTGATTTTGTTGAAAAGAAAATGAGTACAATTAAATTTGCCTGCCAGGGAATAGAAAATCTGATTTAAATACAGTAAATTCAAAATGTGTTACATGAAAAAATAAAGATCAATTTTTTGAATAAAAAAATTGCCTACCCTGACCATTGTACATTTGAGAGCATCATTAGGCACCGAGTAGGTAGACTAGTACATGTAGATACAAAAATAGGTAAACTTTTCTTTGGGATTGATGGCTGTCAATTCTGGACCAAGTTCATTGCCTTTTGGCATGTTAATGTGTGGTTTAGAGATTCAGCTACCTGTTTCAAATCTCCCGTTTTCTTGCAATAACTGCAACTTTTGGGCCCAAACACCTGACATTCCACGGCACCATGCCTGACGCAGTCATGTTTCTTGCACGGATCGCTGCAGTACACGGCCTTTGGGCAACGATCACATCTCACAGCGTGCTCTGGTAGTGATTTCTCACAACGCCAGCAGTGGCCTGGTTTGACATCCATGTTTATCAGTGCTTACCCCGCAGCTGGAAATATGAAGAGAAGTGCGTATGTACTATATTTAGCCTTCATGTGTGTAGGTTAAAGGCCTGTGGTACGATACCAGCTGTTGTCAGAGCAGTTTTTGCTGAGTTTGAATCCGTAGTTGGTTGTGAGTTTTTCCCTTTTCCAAAAATCACAAAATCATCCTCTTTTAAAATTGAATCGTGTTTTAAAGTACAGGATATGTCACGCATGATTCCTGGCCTATAAACTCACCTTCAGATATTTGCCTCTTGGCAGTCTATGATGTAGCTGTGCTTGGCACAAGATTTTTGCCGGTTTCCGCCTTGAGTTGACCTCTTCCTTTTTGAGAGGGTTTTTCTCATTCTCACAATGTCACAGCTTCAATCGGTTGCCTATTTACAGTATTTTATTCCCAGGGAATTACGAGTCCATGTACTTGTATTTCTCTTTCAGGAAATCCCAGCGATGAGAAATACTTGTCTGTGAATATGAACTTTGTCCCTCTCCCTTTGGATACCAGTACATACATTGTACATGCACCTATAGATCTGTGTACTGATGATGATGCCACACTTGTGTGTGCTTGTGTAAATGGCAATCAGTGGACCACTGGCCCTCTCTGGCTCCATAGGAAAGTGCATGTGTAAACAGAGTGTTCTATCATCAGTATATCGGCCTGTCATGCCTGTAGAGGATTTTCAGTCCTGTGATTTTTAAGGGTCACTGTACAATTTACACAGATGTGAGCGGAAACGCATACTTTACCAACAGAAATACCCAGATTCAAAAGTGCGCCCGCCTTCACGTACATGGTACATTTCCTAAAATGCTTTTGTCTGTCATGTTACGTCGCATGAAAAACCTCTACAATTGGCTAAGTAAGTGTTAAAGGTGTGTTATAGAGTTTGTGTGCAATGGCATTTCAGGCTGTTTTGGTTCCTTTAAATTATGTTTTGATAGTTTTGTTCCGGTATATGTACATTTACAATAAAAAAAAAAGGAAATTTGAATGTTTTGGTGAATGGTGAAAACTAGCAAGTTTATCTTCAGACATTTGGAGAGCCTGAAAGGGTAGGTTTTCCCCAAGAATTTTACACCTAACCATGCATGGGTACACAAAGAATACACACTTTCACCTCGATTGCTTCCCCTGTCTATTCCCCTGTCTATCTCATTCCAAAAAATTCCAACAATGCGAAATGCCAATGACAGTTGTGTAGTTCCCATTTTGCATGTACATGGATGGGGTGTGTTTTCAATATAATGTGTTATTTTTCTCCGTACTTTTTGTGCAATGAGAAAAAGATAGACAGTAAGCGTAAATTTTCACATGAGCACCCCTTTACACAGTGCCCTGCGAGCCCTCTCCATGGAGCAGCACCGCCATTGAATGATTGTGACTTAATTACCCGTAATTGAAATACTCATTTACATGTAAATTGTACCTGTCTGTCACAAACAGCACTGAGGATTTTATTTCGAACATTAATGTAATGCGTCATTAAAAAAATTTTTTTTCCCTGTAATTCCGTACACGACCAAGATTGCACCTCTGTCAAACCCTGTTGAATTATGATTTCACCAAATTTACTCAGTGTCTGTTACAACTACCTTTGCACACATGTACATTGTGGTACATGTACATGTATGTTAAAACTTAGCATACCCGTACATCTACTACTAGTGCATTTTAAGGAATACCAAAGAACTCAAGCGTATCACAGGATACAA